CATGTAAATAAATTAATTAACTAGTAAATTAGGTTAACTTTAATATTTTCATTAATAATTAAAATAATCTAGATTTAGGGTTTCCTTTTAATTCTTGTTCTTTATTTTTCATAAATACAAAAAAAAAAATACTAAAACACTTTCTTTTCTTTAATTAAATAATTAATTGGACTTTAATTTAATTTAATTTCATGCAAAGGATCAAAACCCTCGGACGTCCTAATTTTAATTTTTTTCACGCATTATTTCTTTCGATCATTATGTAACTGTTTCTCAGATGTAATAGTAATTAGGTTTATCTTTCCGTCCTTACTTTCCGCATCTTTATCAAAAAACGGGTCTTTGTATTTTGGCGATGTATAGACCCGCGCCTTGTAATAGCGTAGGATTTTACTTTCCGCATTTAAATTTCCACACTTTTAAATTATAATTGCATGAAAGAATGTATGGCCTAAATTAAAAACAAGCGTAGATCACCATGATACATGTACAAGATAAAACATAACTGAAATAACACACAGATTCACACACCACTCTTAGGGTACGCCTCACTGTTGCCTTGCCCTCGAAATGTGGTCGTCGAGTATAGGACGTTTTAGTAAGTCCTTATGTCCATGACATGATCCAGTTGCCTCGAAATGGTTGCCTCGGAATTAAAAAGGATCAATGGCATAAGGGTAGCTTCTAAGGTGTCCTACTGTTGCTTTGGTGACCACACTGTCCCTAACAAACGAATTGACCCGAACACCTCCAACGGTGGTGCTACCTACCTCTCAATGGTGGGATGGAACTACCTTAAGGACATTTACACAGCCTAATTCCTTAGGGTAGGTAGATGACTCATAGATACTTGCTCTAATTCAAAAACAAATCAAAAACTCTTTTCACACCGACACTTTTCAAAAAGCTTTCAAAACAATTTTTCAAACACTCTTGAGGACTGATACAAGAGTCGATATGAAATCTTTAAACGAAACTTTTTCAAACCCACTCACACTTTGAAAAGCAAACACTTTTGAAAACACAAATGAGCAAGTATCTAAGAGCCCATGGATAACCATGGATAGAAAGGGTGCTAACACCTTCCCTTTCTATAAATCTACCTCCCGAACCGAGAGCAATCTCTATAAGGAATTTTTCTGTGCTTTTGTCCTTTCCATTTGGAGAAAATAAAAGACGGTGGCGACTCTTGCTTCCGCGACCTTTCGCGAACCAGCGTTAAACAGTCAGTTCCAGATCCACCGATCACACATGGTAATTACCTTTTTGACATGAAACTACGGCTCCCAAACTAGCTTCTTTGGGATTTAGCAGATGTCAGAGGTTACACTCAAAAGTTTTATTGGACGTCTTTGAGGAGCGAACCCATCCAAGGGTCTACTTCTCTTTCCTACACCCAATTTTTTACTTGGTTTGAGATCAACGTAATGGGGACTCACTTCCTACGCTATGGAGTGGCTAGCTACTAAGAGGGGTGAGTTCGGGATACCACTATGTTTTGTGGGTTGTTGACTTTAGTTTCATGGCTTTCCTAGCAACATTTAGATCGCTTTAGTCATACATTGATGTTGTTTATGAAAACACCCATTATTCTGACCTATCTTTGCATGTCAATAAAGAAGAACATTTGGTGAAAAATGTATTCATAAGTGAAAGAAAATGTTACATGATAATGTGTGATTTTTTTATAAGATTAAAGTTACATAACAAAAGTGACCTAGTTGATGTTTATTGGTCCAGGTAGTCCTGGGTCAGCTTGCCATGCAAGCTCTATGTTTTTTCCGATAGATAGAACTTTGATTATCTTCTGGTCGTTGTCACAAGAATTCACCCTGTTAAAACAATTATTTTATATTTGTTAGAGACGTCGGTCCTCCGGTGTGGTGATTGACCTCTATTGTTTCCAATCTCTTGTTGAAGCAGGCATTATTTATTCTTTGTATGCTTTCTTTCTCCTTGGTATCACGTGTTGTGCCTTGGTAGTGTTACAAGGCACTGTGTATTTGTCGGGATCTAGATAGGTCAACTCATATTATCATTGGTTTGGCGTGGATATTGTTGTTTTTAAGCTTTTAAGTGGACCAAAGATGCCATGATGTCGAGCTTCACGAAAAAGGGTTTGCCCATAATGTTGTTATAAACATTCTTGCATTGAACTAATAAGAACTGGAGGCATCTCTTCATTCCTTGATAGTAACAATCACCTTTATATATCCCTAAGGGTGCGTCCTCGTGCCCTTGAAGGCTTGCAGTTTAGAGCCTGCATAGGGTGATAACCTATCTCTTTTCAGGCTCCTAGGAGATATCTCACACTAGTTTCCCCCGTTAATGTGGACTCTTGACAAGTCAAAGTTATCCATAGTCTCCATTATCACAATGGAATTTTTTTTCTCCGGAATACCATCCACTTTATCACTATCATTGAATCTGAAGATGGGTCTCTCTTGTTTCTTCTCAAGAATTGTTTTTTCCTTTATACTAACTTTCATTAGCTTGGAAATCTTTATTTTAATTTTCCCTTTAAATGGATTCTTTGTATGGGGGGACCTCCCATGATGGACTATATGTATCGAAGCTTTCTTCTTCTATCTTCTTCCCATTCATAATTGTTGTTCTTCTATACTTTGGGTTTATTCACAACTCTGATTGTCTTCTTGGAGGAAGCTTTTTCTCAACAAGAAGATCTCTTATCTCTAGGCAATTTTCCCCACCCCTTGTATTCTTTCTTTCTTCTACGATCATCTTTCCCACTGTCCTTTTGGGTATAGCGGGTTAATCTTCCCTTCTTAACTAGATCCCCGATTGCATCTTTCAAGGGAAAGCATTTATTTGTATTGTATCCAAAAATATTTTAGAAACAAACAAACCTTGTCTTATGGATCCTAGCTGATTTCTTTATTTTGTAAGGGTTTCTCATCCAAACTTCCTTAAAGTTAGTGTTGGCGCAATTCGGCCAAATATTTTCCCTTTATATGTTCAGGGGTGTAAGATGAGAATTAGATATGTGGCCCTCTGTCTCCCCCATCCTGGCGTTGGTTATCACAATTTTTTGTCGGTCGGTTGTTCTTTGTGATCCATGATCCTTGACCCTTTTCTACCTCCTTGGACAAGAGTTTTTCCTCATAATTAATGTAGGATTAGGCTCTGGTTAGGAGGTTGTTTAAGCTCCCAACTTCTTCCAGTCCTAACTTCTTGTGAAACGTACAATATGCTCCCAGTCCATTATTGAATATCCAACATTTCATCTCATCACTCATCCCCTTACCTCTACCGCCATATTGGTGAATCAGTCTATGTATTCTTTAAGGGTTTCCTTTTTCTTTTGTTGAATTCTTCTAAGGATGGCCATTGTTGTGGATTGCCATTTCCGGGTGGTGAATTGTGAAATAAAAAATCTATATAACTCTTTGTAGGAATTTATGTGAGCGTTAGGAAGGATTTTGAACCACGTCGTGGTGGCTCATTTGAGGGTCACAACAAGCAATTTACACTTCATTGTGCCCCTATCATGGTGATAATCAAGCATAATATCCAAATGTTCGATGTGCTCCTTTGGATATCAAAAGTCGTTGTAGTTATCTAACTTTAAGAGTTTCTCGGGGACTTCAGGATCTGGTTGTTGAGGATACGCCTAGAGAGCAGGTTTCTCATTTGGCCAAGAGCTTGACTTCTGTTGTCGATTATGTCTTCCCCTAGGGAACGCCAAGTTGTTGAAGTTATATTTAACAACTCATGTGCTTCTTGCATGACTGGTTGGCTTGGAGCAGCTGAAGGCTCTGGCGCATCTCTTGTTTTGGTATAAGAAATTGCCATGAAATTTGTTTGAAGGTTTGATCTTGTGGCAATTGTTGAGAAGATTGAAAATTCTGAAGGATTGGCCGATAGTCGGAGAAAGCAAATTTTGAGGTGGTTGAATGGAAGTATAAGTCACTATAGGTGGATTGGTTCCTGCTGTTGGAATAGGTGGAACCTCTCTTGCTGGATCGAGAGTGTTAATCGTTGCAACAACGACAATGTTATATTGGACTGCTAGTCTAGTGGACTTGGGTGTTTCCATGATTTATGTAAGATTGATCGAACATGAGAGTAGAAATAAGATCGGTCGAAGCACATGAGCGGTGAAAAGATGATGGTTTTTATGGGAATTCGAAAGAATCTGTAGTCGATTACCACATACGGCGCCATTGTTCTGAGGTGGAACGAGAAATACCTAATGCTGAGGAAACAAAAATCTTCTGATGCGGCGACTAGAGCTTTTGATACGACGAGGTGGGAAGAACTCCAATGCCCAATGCCCAAGTTAGTGAATTCTAAGAGGTATAGTTTGAGAGTAAGAATGAGATGATGCATGAAATGACATGTCCTTAAATTTATATATAGTACGCGATTAAAATTGCTTCTGTCTAACTCAACATTAAATGTGGAGAGTCGTCCGATTAAATCTGACGCTAAACAATACACTAGTAACTGAGATCAAATATTAGATTATTGGTGAGGTCACTTTGTCAGCATAATAATATACTCCCTCTGGTCTCATTTATAAGAAAAAGTTAACTTTTTATATACATTAAATAAGTAATGTATTTGGACAATATATTGTCCAAATACATTACTTATTCAATGTATATAAAAAGTTAATTTTTTCTTATAAATGAGACCGGAGGGAGTATACTATAAAATAAATCTCACAATTGAACTCAATAAAGTGAACTCGACAAAAAGGAGGAGCCATTGATGAATGATGAGTACTCATCAATTATTAATTTTCAGATCACATTAACAGAGGAATTTATTCTTTATTAATATTAATAAGCTCATTAACATAGAAAATAATGCAGGTTATAAATGTTGGTCATTAAACACGATAACCAATCCTACATTGCATTATTATTATTAATATCAAAACATCCTTAACACTTTATTATAACATACAATATCAATCACTTTCCCTCTGCACGTTCTAAATAATTGTTGCGGATCAACATCGATCGGAAACAACTTCAAGAGCTTTGTGGACCCTCATTTCCTAGAAGAAAAAAAAAGTAAAAGATAGCAATTTATGTTTATGTTTATAATAGAAACAAAACCATAAAAGAAAAAGAAAAAATTAAAGAAGGCGATGTACTACCATTAGAGGAAGATGATGGTTGGTTACTGGTTGTGTTTGTGCGTTGCTGGGAGCGTATAACTACGCCAGGCCATGAGCGGCACATGCAATGCATTCCTTCATCAATACTCCCATAGAGTGTGGTCAAGTGCTTACCACATCCTCCCCATGTGTATTTTCTACAGGTTGCACATTCCAGCCGGTAACACATGTTTGTGCAACCCCTCAATGTTGATTAAGAATTTAGTTTGATAGATGATGAATCCCTTGTACGAGTATATGATCTAATTGTCACGGTTTTTATAGTAGGGATGTATATTATATTCCCATGGTTTCTAGCACTTTGATAACATCCACACTTTGTTTATAATTTGTTTGCTATGCCTCCCACTAGCTTTCAAATTCTGTTGCTAAAGATAATAACGCCTTGCATAGTTTTTAGATTATTCCATTTTGAAATTTGGACCTTTCGAACCTTGAAGAGTTCATAGACCATGCAGATAATGCAAATATCTAATATTCAATAATTTAAAATCCTTTTTTATTTAACAAAAGAGAAAACTATATTTTGGTTTCGTTGTGTTTTGCAACTATTTCACTTAGTGTAATGGTGTAGTTGGAAGGGGGTTATTGGGACTTGAGCGCCTTTTTTTTTGGATTGGGCGTTCTTTCTTCAGATATGTCGTCTGAATCTTCTGTACCTTCATTCATAGCGTGTGATCATGCATGTAATATATATTGGGTCAACAACCGTACATAGGGAGTCGTGGGGATTAACTATACACTCTCTAAATTTTAGAGAATCAGCTACCAATTCTCTAAATAGTTGCAATATCCAAGAAGTCTTAAATCCAAGTCAGAGTGACTATAAATATCTCAATACTACAATAGAAAGGAGACAATCTAACTTACACATAAAAATGCACACATATAAAGCCTTTGTTAGTCGTTAATCACTAGGGACAGTCACACTTTTGTACTTGTAGTTAGTACAATTGGCGCCCATCGTGGGACACTGTAAAACTAATTTAGGACACACTTATCATTTACTCAGTGTTACTTTCACATCTTCTTACGAGGATGTTCAAGCAAAGTTCTAAGAAGACCACCAAACCATCACTGGAGATTTCGTCAAAGGGGAGGGGAAAATATAGCTCCTCCCGGAGAAAGTACGCTCGACACGTGTCAACGACAAACATCACACTTGTGAAAGCTCTCGGAAATTCATGCAAGGACCGAGAGTCCATAAACATCTTTTGAGAGAAGACATGATTAATGTTCTTCCCCACAATAATGATCCCATGATCATCAGAATTCAGTATGCCAGTTGAGATGTGAAGCAAGTATTAATCGACCCTGGAAGCTAAGCATACATCATGCTCTTGAACGCTTTCTAGGGGCTCCAGCTTGATCCGAATAGCGTTGGAGCTTTCCAAGGATCTCTGATTGGCCTTTCAGGCGGGCATGTGCAGGTTAAGGGCCGCATCACACTTGAAACAACATTTGAATCAGGGATGAGCGTAAGAACCATCAAAGTAAAGTATCTTATGGTAGACACCATATCCCCTTACAATGTCATCCTCAAAAGGCCCACTCAATCAGTTGGGGGAAGTCTTGGCCACCTTTCATTTAAGCCTCAAATATCCATTATCTGACGAGCACTTGGGTACAAAGGGGATCAGGCGATCATCTAAGAATGTTACTAGAGTAGCCTAGAAGTAACAAGGGAACCTTTCGCCGTGGATGCCATCCCTTGCTCGGAAATAGATGATGCTGACGCAACAAGTTGGGAACCTAGGTTAGGGGTAGAAAGTGATAGGCTTACCCTAACATAAGATTTCAAAGAGGTCCTGATTAGGCCTTTGCACCACCAAGTCACTAAGTTAGGCATCTCATTCCCTGAGTCTGAAGAAGAGGATTTGATCAACCTACTCAAGAAGAACATCAACATGTTCCCCATTAGATATGTCTGACATAGATAACATAATGGTATGTCATCACCTCACCATAGACCTTTAAGTCAAGCAAATGTCTCAAAGGAAGCACAAAGTTGACGAGGAGAAAAGAACTTCCATTGACAAAGAAGTTCAGAAGCTAACAAACACTAGTTTCATAATAGAGGTCAAATACCCTTCATGGTTGGATAATGTGGTCTTGATGATAAAGGCATCAAGTAAGTGGCGTATGTGCGTCTTCACTAACCTCAATGTTGCATGTACCAAAGATCCACATCCTCTCTCTAATATAGATCGCCTGATTTACAAATCTTTGGGTTAAAAACATTGATATTCATGGATGCCTATTCAAGGTACAACAAGCTTAAGATGGACCTCATAGATGCACCCATTATGACATTAATATCCAATTATTGTAACTATTATTAAAACATCACGCTTTATGGGCCAAAGAACACTAGAGTCACCTATCAAAGACTCATGAATGTGGTGTTCTCAAAGAAAATAGGGAACAACTTGGAGGTTTACATTAAAGACGTGATAGTGAAGACATCAAAAAAGGAGAGTTATACATCAAACTTATAAGATATCCTAATGTTGTACCCCAAAATTTGCCCTCTCATATTTCTCAGCACATGGCAAGTGAGGTCCCCAAATTGCTCAAGAAAGTTAAAGAGTGGACCAGACAAACTCTCTCTTAAGAAAGTATACCTCAAATTAGGGTTTCCATCTTCATCAAGATGTGTGAACCAAAAAGGACTAAAATTCTCATCATTGTCATAATATGGTCTCAAGATCATCCATGTCAAGTTTCAAGCCTTGTAGAAGAAGTTTGCTCAGTCGATTGCTCAAATGCTTGAAAATTAAATGTGCTAGGTCAAAAGTCAAATGTGGCCCACATACAGTCAAACTTCAAGATTTTTGGTCAACATCCTCATTTTTAAGTATTATCCATCATTTTATCAAGGGTTGATCATGATTCCTCAAGGATTGCTCACAATTCATCAAAACCCAAAAGTTGCTAAATTAGGGTTTTACAGGAAAAGTCAACTCAACCTTGACCAAGCATAAATTTCTCATACTTTATCATAAATGACCCATCCAAAGCTCATTTTTAAGAGGATTCAATTCCCTACAACTCATATTCATCTCCCAAGTTCAGAATATACACTCACAAAAAGATATGAATTTTGAAATTATAGGTCCTTTTGAAAAGTCAACAAAAACACCTTTTGGGTCAAAGCTTCATACATGAACATGGAAGACTCAATTGAGATGAGACCAAAAGGGTTGTTTAGAAGACATATTAAGATTTTTAAAAAGTCCAAGAACACCTCTCTAGGGTCAAAATTGAGAGAGTTATGCATTGGCCAAGTTGACCATTTTTGCAAAAATTGCCAAAAGTTAAATGTGCTCAAATTTGCATTTTTTGCTAAATGGGCCCAACTTTTTATGCTTGCACCTCAATTATAATGTGGTCCACGACTCAAATGTTCATTCACCCATTATATGCTTCATTTTTAAATTTATTTTGATTTTTCATTGATTAAAAAGTGAATTAAATCAAATAAATGATGAAAATTAACAAAGATATGATTTGATTTGTTTATTTTTTTTTTGACAGATTAACAATCAAGATATGCTGAGTTTACATGATCAAATCGAATCAAGAACAATTGGTACAAGAAAGGCATGATTTGGCTCAATATAGAAACATATCATACAACTTGAAAATCAAATCAAATCTTGGATAAATGCAAAGATTCATGCCAAGTTTGTTAACTTAATTCATTTTAGGTTATATAATGAAGCTTTCCAGATCAAAAAAATAAGGGTTAGAGGTCGTGAGAAGTGCAGAACAAAATTGAAAAATTCAAAGAAAAGTGGGAGTTAGTTTTCATTCCACAGGCTATCTCAAGCCATCCTAGTGATTCCAATCGCTTGCTAGACATCTCAGGAAGCTAACAACATCCTTTGCAAGCTTCAAAACACCCAGAAACGCGCGCTACGCCCCCCACGGTTTGACATATTTTTGCAATTCGATTAGCATAATTCTTGCATCTTTAGCACTTTTAATTGTCATAGTTGTGATTATTATCATGTTTGCAAGCTAACAGATTGGTTTAATTGCGTTTTTTATGCATGTACGTGATATTGCCATGGTTAGGGTTTTATGTTCTTGTTTAGGGGTTTTTTGTACAGGCAAAATTAGGCCTTGATTCTGGTACCATGATGCTCGTGAGGATGAGACGAGTTGATTGGTGCCAGTATTTGTCATTTATCTTGCTTGTATGCAATTTTGGAGATGAACAGGGTTATACCTACAACAACTGTCCGTAGGTAAAAGTGTTTTACCTAAGGCGACGGTCCAAGGAAGGAGACGATGGCGTGGAAGCATATGGCTGGCCCGTTTGAATTTTAGCGCATTTTCTGAATATACTATTTGTTCTGCTTATATTATTTTGTTTCTATTATATGAACAATAAGAACGCATAGCACAAATGGTAAGGGACTACTGGAAGCGATCATAAGGACCTGGGTTCGATCCCCAGGTCCCACCATTTTCACTTATGATATTTTCAGTCAGCCAATCCAGTGCTTCACAAATTCAAGCACCCACCATGCTCCATAAAACATCCATCCTTTGATCCAGTGTGCCATCAGATCCAACGCCTAGATAGCAAGGGACCACCATACACCTCAAAGTCAACACTGCATGGGATCAAGCGACCACCATACACCTCAAAGTCAACACTGCATGGGATCAAGCGACCACCATACACCTCAAAGTCAACACTGCATGGGATCAAGCATTGTCAACCAGGCTTGGAGCTTGTTGGGCCAGAAAATCTAGATTTGCAAACTCATCACAAAGCAACCTTACCCAGGTTCCCTCTACAGTTTTACCCAAACTCATATCGAAGTAACCCTACCATCCAGGTTCCTTCTCACAGCCATACTATCCAGGCTTTTATATCGAAGTAACCATACTATCCAGGTTCCTTCTTGCAGCCCTACTACCCAAGCTTTCATATCGAAGTAACCCTACCATCCAAGTTCCTTCTCACAGCCCTACTATCCCGGATTTCATATCGAAGTAACCCTACTATCCAGGTTCCTTCTCACAGCCCTACCATCCAGGCTTTCATATCAAAGTAACCCTACCATCCAGGTTCCTTCTCACAGCCTTACTATTCAGGCTTTCATATCGAAGTAACCCTACTACCCAGGTTCCTTCTCAAGCCCTACTATCCAG